GTTTCTTCAGAGTGAGTGCAGAAGGAATACTGATGATTTTATATGCATTTGGAGACATTCTCAGAAGAAACCAAGGGGCTGGCAGGAGTTAAGGGAAGTTAGCAGTCCACCTGTATAAGCTTGACAACCCTAAGCCACGTGCTGCCTGACCCATCTAGTCTCAAAATCCTGGTACCAATCTACCAACAGTTCTTTACCCTACACGTTTGCAACGCTCTCTTGGACCTTTGGCGACTGCAAATCACACTTTGGTAACCACCATCTAAAACAACAGATAAGCACTGTAAAAAAAGACACGACTACCCAACACATGCGTATTTTTAAAAATCCTCTCTCTAATTTCCTTCCCTCTGGTGTTAAGCAGGCACACAGTAAAACAAACAAAATATCCAACAGAAAATAGATTTTTCTGTCTAGGTAGCTTTTAAGAAGATGGAATGACAAAAAGGCCTGAACCCTTGGCACAGAGACTGTTCTAGCGAACAGCCCTAGAGAAGGCAACGCTACAGAGTGAAAGGAGGAAGGTAAAAAGGGGATGAAGCTGTCAGTTCTGGCCGCAGGGAGAGGCTAAGAAAGAAATTTCCAAAACCTAGAGTAAAGCCCAGGATGGAAAGAATCAGAGTCAATGCCAGGTTGCTCCTGTATTTGCATGCACCCTGTGAAAGGCCTGACCAAGATACTTTATCAGAAATAAAACCTGAAGACTTGACTTTGTTCAAGCAGCGAGCCTTAGTTATTTTGTGCACAACTACCAGTATGAGTTTGAAGGACCAAAATTCAACTTTGCTACTTTTAGGAAACCTATGCTGCTTAACTCACCATGCATCCTGAGCAATGCGGACATTAAGTGTCTGTTGGATCTGGCAGGACGAACGGCCTTCTGACCTGCAGAAAAAAAAAGAACGAGCAATTTGAAGTGGATTTGTTTTGGAAACAATATGCTGTTCTATGCATATTTAAAAAAAAACAAATGAAAACTCTCAAACCTTCCTGTGGCACAGCAATTGTCACTTTAAAGGATTTTTCACACCCCTGGCCACATCTGGTTCCTTCAGAGGCCACTCTGGATGCAAAATAGATATGCTGTGAAATAAAAGCTACTTTACACCCTAATGTGTATTTGTTAACATCTAGCTCTACTACTTTTTTTTCCCTTTAATTCAGTGTAACTTGCTGCACACTCAACCATAGAGACCCGATGCAGTTTATTCATCTCTTGTACTGCAGTTATTTGTCCACTAGCTGCAAGTTAACCGATGTCAGTGGATATCTGAATGCTACCCCATTTCACCCGGACCTACCATGAAATTTTGAAAGAAGTCAAGTAACCTTGAACAAAGCACTACAAAGAATTCACAGTTCTCATTGATGACAATACTTTTTATTAGAAAGAATAACAAAGTGCTTTCCATAGGATTCATTTAATACAGCGTTTTTAAGAAATATGATTTCTCCTTTTTGTATGGACAGTTTCAACGTGATGATTTTTCAGTGCAAACAGGGTTCTCCAAGATCCTCCTACATGTAGAGTTTCTTCTCTGTACACAGTAGTTCAAACATTTATGCATTTGGTGGCTGTGAAACAGTACTGAAGAGTCCATCCTTTAAAAATCAGAGGTTATGTAAAAAACTTTCAATACGTTACACTGACCAACAGGAATTACACCATTTGTTGTTTAACACAGATTTAAGGGACATAATTCCTTCATACCATCCTACACACAGATGCATAAAGGCGCTTTCAGTTCTATCAAGAATAACAATCATATATACCAATATAAATAACATTATCCATTTTTACTATATAGACAAAAGTGAAATTGTCTTTATTTTTTTTTTTAAATTAACCTTCTGCGTTTTAGCTAGGGACATCCTTTGAACACTTGGTGCTTCCTCTGCCTCGGAACTACATTTGGATGGAAGGAAGAACACAATGCAAGGACTGTTCACCCATTCCCCCCTCCCTTTTGGCACACGTTTACAATCAGGTTGCTTTTGACACATATATGCATCATTTTCATGCATTCCGTTTTCCACATTTTATCACCATAGAATGCTTTGGGATGGAAGGGACCTTTAAAGGTAATGTCAGATTCTATCGCAGTCCCCTTTTTTTCCTTAACTCCTCTTTCCTTTCCCGCAAATGACAGGGAGATAGTATAGCAATAGCACAGAATTAGGACAGATGATTCGGTGCAAATTCTTATATACAATGGAATGCATGAAACCAAACAGGTGAGGGGCATTTTCCATGCAATACATTATTTTTCTTTTCCAGTCAACCTAACTCCATTAGGAGGGATATTTTTTCAGATTTTTAAAAATTAAAAACTTCTACGAAGCACACGACGTAGTAAGTTACTCTTAAGAGAATCCCTATAAAAGATTCACCGTACACAATCTTAGTCCAAAAGCTACCTTTCCCTAGAGTACATGTATACAAACATGAACATCAAAAGAACAACTGAAATGATTTCATGAGTGAAACGGTCATAGTTATGCACATAATAAAAGGCTACATGCATATAAATAATTTCCTTACTGCACTTCTCAGTCACACCCTTGGTTCACTGTTCCCCATTCCTTATGTACAGAGCAAAATCACCACTTCAGGGACTACTACGTGCCACCTCACAGCACAGTGCCTTTACACAAGAGTACTACTGCAACAAGGATATCACAGAGACACTTCTTCCTACGGGACGAAAGGAATTGGATGAGATCCTCTGAAGAATAACTTGATTGTGGGAAGAAAGGATTTTTTTTAATGACAAGATGCTTTTGTAGTACAGCCCTTATACAGGAGAATACACATAAACCCACCATTATATCTATACAAATATGCAAAGGTGTAAAAGATGTTCTGCTTTCTAAGAGACTTGAAACAAAACCAAAGTTTACCCCTAGGCACTTGTGAGTACAGAGCTCCTGCCTCTGAGTTCAGCCTGTACTTGCTGTTTGCTTTGGGACTTCCAGCTGTGACTAACAAATCCCTGTATCCAGGAGCACCTTCTGTTGCCAAACGTTTCCCTGCCATCAGCATAACTATTTAACTAGGTGCCAATCAACACAGGTTGCCATCTAAACACACACAGCTGGGCCTCAGTCCCACTCCCCTGCCATCCTTCC